CACGCCCCGCAACCCTGACACGGATGGAGACCGCGGAGAAGGACCACCCCCTGCGCACCCAATGTAGCGTGGAGGGAGTGGCACGATTGCCGCGCCACGCGACGGAAATGCCACGCTTGCCACGCCCCGCGACCCTGAGACGGTTAAGAGACTGAGGTGAGGAACCACCCCCTGCGCACCCCTGTGGTGTGGAGGAAGTGCCACGCCTGCCAAGCCCCGCGACCCTGAGACAGATAGGGACCAGTGTGAGGGACCTCCCATTGCGCACCCCCTGTGGTGTGGGACTTGGAAGTGCCACGCCTGCCATGCCCCACGACCCTGAGACGGATAGAGACCGCGGTGAGGGACCAACCCCTGCGCACCCCCCTGTGGTGAGGAGAAAGTGCCACGCCTGCCACGCAACGCGACCCTGAGACGAATAGAGACCGCGGTGAGGGACCATCCTCTACGCACTCCCTGTGGTGAAGAAAATGTCACGCTTGGTGTATGCGTGCTGTATGTGTGCTGTGTGTATGTCTGCGGTCCGCGTCTGTGTGTCTTGCGTACGTGTATCATGTGTGTACGGTTGTATACGTGTGTTTCACGCGGGCGCCGTGCTGTGTCAGACAGCATTGTTTCGTTTGTGCACGGCGCGCGAGCGGGTGAATGTAAGGAAGAGAAGGAGAGGGGGGTGCGTGTGGGAGCGCAGATCCCATGTGGGTGGGACGGCTCACCAAGTAGGTAAGGTGTGGACGTCGCGGGTGGGGCGCGGCTGAGGAGAAAAGCATAACCCGACAAAACGTGTAGCGAATAAGAGTACACCCCTGAAGCCTTATATCTGAGTATCCCAGGTGCTTCTTATATCTGATTAGCCACAACAGGCGGGGAGGCCGAACTTAATAGTCACCCCCAAAATTCCTATCGTAGCACTGTTCTCCATATCATGCATAGCACCATGAGTGATCCGTATTGCTAGGTTTGTGAGGCTGTATCGAGCAAAGCGCGCATTGCCGAAAAGTCGTCACATTCGCGACGATCAGCTTTTCGAGGATGTCTCAACCGGAACGCTCGATGTTAGAAACAACACTGTCGCGAACATGCCATCACGGATAATCTTGAAAACAGATCCAGACATCCTAACACCGATACCCCAGGAAAAATGATTGTCCTTTCTGGACCCCGAACTTTATTATCCCTAAAGGATTATTCTCGCCGGCACAGGGTTAGAAAAGCTGAGATGGCATGGTAATTGAGCCATTCCGTAGGGCATGATTGGATGTGGGCGAGGAGGAGAGAGCGCAGAGGGGGCATTGTGGGTGGGAGGGAGTGCTGAAGGGGAGCTGGGACCTCAGGAGCATATCCCCTCACGACATCAGACGCTAGCCTCAGCCGATGCCCCTCCTAATCAGTGTGGCCACGGAGGACGCAGCATCCAGCAGGAATGGCAAGAAAACGATGAAGTAAGGGAAAATGAAACCACGAACAACAAATACGTCAAAAACAAAATTAGCCTGGCGAAGGACCCAACCATATGCAGCTGTGAGTACCGCAATAGTGAACATCTTCTTCGGTGCGGCGCCGCCATGCCAACGCAGCCACTGGGAGCTTCAGTGGAGCTCCCGAAATGGGTGCGGCGCCGCCATGCCAACGCAGCCACTGGGGCCTTCGGTGGAGCTCCCTATAGGGCCACGAAACGTGTGAGGGGTGTGCCGAAATCCGTGCGGCGCCGCCATGCCAAGGCAGCCACTGGGGCCTTCGGTGGAGCTCCCTATGGGGCCACGAAACGTGTGAGGGGTGTGCCGAAATGGGCGCGGCGCCGCCATGCCAACGCAGCCACTGGGGCCTTCGGTGGAGCTCCCTATGGGGCCACGAAACGTGTGAGGGGTGTGCCGAAATTCGTGCGGCGCCGCCATGCCAACGCAGCCACTGAGGCCTTCGGTGGAGCTCCCTATGGGGCCACGAAACGTGTGAGGGGTGGGCCGAAATGGGTGCGGCACCGCCATGCCAACGCAGCCACTGGGGCCTTCGGTGGAGCTCCCTTTGGGGCCACGAAACGTGTGAGGGGTGTGCCGAAATTCGTGCGGCGCCGCCATGCCAACGCAGCCACTGGTGCCTTCGGTGGAGCTCCCTATGGGGCCACGAAACGTGTGAGGGGTGTGCTGAAATGGGTGGGGCGCCGCCGTGCCAACGCAGCCACTGGGGCCTTCGGTGGAGCTCCCTATGGGGCCACGAAACCTGTGAGGAGTGTGCCGAGATGGGTGCGGTGACGAGGGAGGGGGCAGCGGGAGGAAGGAAGGAAGGAGTGAACGCGGGGCGCTGTCTTTTCAAAACGAGGACCCAACACCACAGGATGGTTGGGAATTTCTCGGACGTCCGCGCGAATTTCTTGGATCGGCCCTGGACTCTGCTCCCTGGCGCGCAGAGCGCGCCAGGGGTGGCGCCAGAGGCGCCGCCAGGGGGGCCCAATCCAAGAAATTCGCGATGACCTCAGAGAAATTACGTTTGTGTCGTTCCCTGTCCTTCGATATGACACACAATGGAGCGGGGAACCTCGGGGGAGTACAAGATTTCTTGGATCAGAACCCCCTCCCTGGTGCGCGGAGCGCGCCAGGGGCGGCGCCGGAGGCGCTGCCAGGGGGGCCCAGCGCGGATCCAAAAAATCCGCGCGGACCTTCGACAGATGATGTTTATGCCGTTTTTGTGTCCTTCGATCTGGCTGAACTTAGGACAGAAGAACATCCTCCAAGAACACGAGATCCTCGGCGGGCCAAACTGAGAACATGATGCAACAAAAACACCCAACAGACACGAAGAACACGAGCTCGCAATCGCTCGGACGTCCATTACACTTGCATTTTTCGAATCGCCAGCGAACCATACACAATCGAAATCGGATCGTCGCGCCTGGCTCTGGCTGGCCCCGGCCGATGCCGCTGAATCGAACCGAGCTGAATCGCATCGGAATCGAGGCTCCAGCCTGCAAATATCATCATGCCGAATCGAATCATAGGCGGCCCTGAACGGACTATCGATAGCCATCCCCCTGACGATGATGACAAACAAATAACCGAGGCAAGTCTTGAGAACACCCCCCATAACGGAAAAGAATTATCCTTTCGACGCCCCTACTGACGGACTGGTGTCCCACCGATAACGGAAAATGATAATTTATCCGCGGCGCCCGCCGCGCAACAGCGAAGACGACATCTACGACTACGATTACACCTACGACCACGATACGACTATGGCTACGGCTACGGCTACCGCGAGGAGGAGGAGGAGGAGGAGCGGGCGGAGGAGGAGGGACGAGTCTTATTCCGCGACAAGAGATCAAGGTTGGGGGAGCAAAACTACAGAACTCCCAAGGTCAGCGGCGGCGACGGCGGCGGCAACGGTGACGACCACGACGGCGGCGCGCCGACGACGGGCCCCCGGAGTCTCGACACCCTCCCGCGGGGCAGCTCCCCGTGCCAGACGTCCACCTCTGATGGCCCTCGAGGCCCCACAGCTGCCCCTGGAGGCCCTGTCTGCCGAGCGCCAATGGCTGCCACAGCCGACCCGTACAGGAAGGGCGCACGATGAGGGCGCCAGGGCCTTGGAAGACCATGCCGGCACTCTGCCAACGGGGCGCGGCCAGCGAAGGCGGCCAAGGCTGGGCCCAGGGGAAGGATGCAGGGGCAACCCTGGAAACTCGCTCATCATCACTACACGGGTTGACTCTAATCCCTGGCTTTGCGCAGCGGTCGCAAACTTCGCGCGACGTCAGGGCGTCGCGCAGGCCTCGCGCGAAGTTCTCGGATCGGGGGAGTCCTGTAGCAGGCGCCCAGGCGCCTGTAAGCGCCTTGGCAGGAAGCCGGAACTGGGAAGATCCCCTCGGCCGCCCCAGTGCGGAGCACGCAGCCCGTGGCGCGTCGATGCGGAGCGGCAACATGGAACAACTAGGGCTCCCAACTTCGCGCTTCGCGCTGCGCGAAGCGCGAAGCGCGAATAACTTCGCGCTCTCGCGCCGCCCTCCCAAAGGGAGAATAGGAGGACGAGGAGGAGGGGGAGAAGGAACGAGGACCGCGAAGCGCGAAGCGCGAATAACTTCGCGCCCTCGAGGGAGCCCTTGAACAATTGAAACCGCAGGTCTGGCGCGACGCGCTCGCAAAAAGAAGCGCGGGTCAACACCAGCCGAGCCGGCGCGCAGCGTGTTTCACCCGGACGTTCTGCGCACGGTGGGTGTTACGCTTCAGCACGGCCGCTCGACGGGTCGATCGATCGATCGATCGATCGATCGGCGGCGACGATGACGAGGCCGACGACGACGACGACGGCGGCGGCGACGGGCGTTCCATGGATCGACGACGGTGGTGACGACGAGGAGGCTGACGGCGAGGCCGACGGCGACAACTGGCGCCGAGGGCGACGATGAGGCCGACGACGAGGCCGTCGGCGAGATCGACGACGAGGCTGACGAGGCCGTCGATTGATCGGCGAGGCCGACGACGAGGCCGACGACGACCTCAACAACGAGGCCGACGACGAGGCCGTCGATCGATCGATCCGCGATGCCAACGACGAAGCCGCCGATCGATCGACGGAGAGGCCCGCGGCGGCTTCGGGCGGAGGACGGACGGCTCTGGCACGTGGCCCACGCCGTCCGCGCCCGAGGCCAGGCGCGCGAGCAGCTCGCCGAAGACCTCTGCCACCTTCTCGCTGGCGGCCGTCGTCGGCGGCGGCCGTCGGTGGCCGTCGGCTGCCCTCGGCGGCCCGTGCAGCGGCGCGACCGTCGCCGCCGTCGTCTTCATCGCCGCCGCCGCCGCCGTCGCTGCGCTCGCCGTCGTCGTCCCCGTCGTCGCCGTCGTCGTGGCTGTCGTCGTCGTCGTGGTGGCGGTGGTGGTCGTCGTCGTCGTCGTTTCTGTCCCTTCTCCTCCTTCTCATCGTCATCCTCTTCGCGAAGCTCGTGTTCGTGGAGCTCCTCCTCTCCCACCTCCTCATCCTCCTCCTCCGCCCCCTCCCCCTCCCCCTGCCCAGTTCTTCCTCGCTTCTTTCTTTCATTCCAATCCTCCTCCTCCAACTCGTCATCACCATGGTCGTCAAGGTCCGTCTGGTCCTCGCTGTGCTCCTCCTCCTCGTCCTCCCCTCTCCCTCCCACTCCTCGTCCCGGCCGTCCCAGACCCCTCCTTCTGCTCGTCAGCATCGCTCTGCTCACAACGATGGTTGAAAAACACTGTGTGACGCATCCTCTTCAGCAGCCGTCACAGGGCAGGGGATGGCACGGCAAACCCGATCAATCTGATAGTGGACGGCATCAACGCCTTCCCAAACGCGTCTCAAACCAGCGCGCTCGAACATCCCAACGGCAAGCTATACCCAGACTGGAACAATACCCTTCCGAATGCACCTGTCTCTCTCTCAGTACCTCGACAATTCTGCTGTGGCCACGGGGGGGTCCCTGTAGTCCGGGGGAGGAAGGGGGGCCCCTGGTAGTCGGGGCGGGGAGTCTCTGTACTCCTGGGGGGAGGGGGGGGCTGGTGATCCAGAAGGGGGGGCGCTATTGCAGTCTGGGGGACCCTTGTAGCAGTCCATGGGGCCCAGGACTATCGAGGTATACTCAATTTCATTTCGCTCGAAGGCGCCCGTTGTCGGTCGGCGTCGTCGCCGCCGCTGGCAACGTCCTTGCCGTCGTCGCCCGCGTCTCCCAAGGATACCGTCGGGACGTGCCACGGCCTCTGCGCGAGAGAGCTGACACAAACAGCCTGCCCCTTTTCCCTTGCGGGCAGCCTTCAGCTGAAGGTTCCACGCGCGCGCTCTAGCTGTTGCCAGCATGTGCGCACAAGTGGTATTGGCGTCGGCGTGCGTAGGAATGGCTATCATTGCTCGCGCTGCCAAACATCTAGAGTCTAGAGAGGTGCCCCGTGCCGCCCCGTTGCCCAACATAGGGGCACCAGGGCAAGCTGCAGCTGCAATCACGGCGGAGGAAGAGGAGGAGGAGGAGGAAGAGGAGCAGTAGCAGGAACAGGAGGGGGCTGACGTGCATACTCCATGCGCTTATGGCGAACTGGAGAACCCTGACATCAAGAAGCAGCGCTTGCATCTCAAGGGCGTGTTCTCCCCCCCGTACACCAAACATGACCAACACATATAGATTGAACAACTACGGCGAATGTTTGGGGATCTATGCAAACCTCGCTCAGAAATTACCCACGGAAGAGCCGGGATTAGGCATTCGGTATCTGCGGCGAGATTCGGAGGAGGGAGAGGAGTAGTGAACAAGTGCGACAATATTCCCATGGTGCTGAACAATCTCTGAGCCACGGTAGTCCCGCAAATTTTGGCGTGTCGCGCCAGGGGCACGGCGAAGTGTGGGGGCCTTCTACAAACACAGAGGGTGGCCCGTTTTCCAAGGACCCAAATGATGCTCTGGACAGTCCTCATGATACCAATATATCTGAATCAGGGTCCCTCCCTCATCCTTCCGTGCTCATTCCGCCTCCCTCCTCCTGCTCCTCAATGGGGCAAACTTCGGTGAAGCCGAACAGGCACCAGCAGTACTCGGATCGAGCCCGAGGAGCAGTTCCTGGCTGATGTCGCCGTCGCCCTTCAATGCACCCCAACGAAGCGAAGGCCTGAGAACCCGGCCCTCGCCTTCCGAGAAGCCTCCTTAATGAAAGCCACAGGGTGACTCTAACACACACGCCCCCTGCCTTCTCAGAACAGCACCCCCGCCGGCCCTGCCCGTCCTGAGCGCCCCTCCCAGAAAATGGAAGAACGCTACGGCGGGTCCGTGCCGTGATTACCCCAGCGGTGGCTTCTGACATCGCGTGGATCGTTCAACCTTGAACGATCGGTGGCTTGCCGATCGCTAGAGCTTTCTATATCCTGTGCCTCCGTCGGCGTTCAACCTTGAGCGCCCGCGGCGTGATCGCTGCTGCGTCGACACGACACGGACCCAGCGCAGGCGAGCAACACTCCAAGCTTGATGCTCGTCTCGAGGCCAGAATGTGTCACTGGCCGAGTCCCTGGACTTCTCTCAAGGTGCCGTCCAGCCTTCCGAGCTGCGCGACCGAGAGCCTCCGGACACGTACCCTTAACCTTCAAACGACGTCGCCGTCTTCGTCGTCGTCCTTCTCCTCGTCCCAGATGTCCACTGTCGTGATTTAGTTTGCAGCGTTGCTCCCCAAAGGTCGGGGCCCCCTCCCCGGAGCCAAACGTTGCCGAAAACCTTCCGTGTGAGGAGACCGCCCGAATGGGTCGCACTGCATCGTCGATGCATCGGCGACGTCAAATGGGAAGAATATGCCTGGTCTTCGGGTCATACCTCGAATATCTGGGGGCCTTGCGGGATCATCTGGTCACCCCCAGATTGGGTTCGGCGAGGCGCAGCTGCTGGAAAGCATTCTGGTGCTCGAAGACCGCCAAGAAATTATAAAACGTTGCCGAAAAAACCGAACGCGTATTTTCTCACGGCGCGGGGATGTCTGGGCACCCATGTTTCGGTGGCGTCCAAGAGGGGGGTCGCAAATCGTGGCCTGAGGCATGTGCTCGGACGAGGGGAGGGCAAGGCGACGTGTTGAAAGAAGAAGAAGAACAATACTACTACAAATAAAAGCACTACGAATAACCATAAGAATAATAATTATAAGAAGAAAAGGAAGAATAAACATACGAATAAGGATTAGAAGAACTGGAGGCAGAAACATAAGATCGAGAGGAAGAGGGGGGCACGACATCTGGGGATCCACCATGGCCCGACCATGATATCCCCCGCCTCACCTCCGCGCCTGAGGGGCAAAGACAGCGGGGGGGGACTGGCCCAGGGAGGGAGGAAGAACATCGACCTGGAATCGCCGATACATCACAAATATAGATCGGCAGTGAGCTTCCGATAGCGAATCCGCACGTTTCTGGGCGGAGTGGGCCATCGGGCTCCTATCGGCGATCAAGGAGCGATTGAGGATTCATGCGTTCCCCACATGATCCTATCCCCTTGGGCGCCCGAGTTATCCGGGGTAACTCGGGTCCGGGGTAACTCGGGTTTGGATTCCCGAAAAAGGAACCCGAGTTAGCCCTGACCCGAGTTACCCCTGATGATTCGGGGCTCTGGACGCCCGAGTTGTCCGGGGTAACTCGGGTCCGGGATAACTCGGGTTTGGATTCCCGAAAAACGAACCCGAGTTATCCCTGACCCGAGTTACCCCTGATGATTCGGGGCTCTGATCCCCCCTAGTCAATGCTGCCTCAGACTTGTGCGCTTTCGGGCCATCGCTCGGCTCTCAGGCCGCCGTCGAAGGACGATCCGGGCATCCCAGGAAGGCTGTTGGCGAAACGCAGCCGCCAGAAGCCTCTCCGAGGCTGGAAAGCCGCCGAGAACCTGTGAAAATATAGGAAAATCTCGAAGCTGTAACATTTCGACCGGCGCGGGTCTGGCCCCCACCCCCCCTTGCTGCCGTTCCTCCCTTGGCGGCGCACACGCAGGGGGCGACGCGAGGGGGGCGGCCTTCTACGAAGTCCCAGGGGGGGGGCGTCCTAGAAGGCAGGTGGCTTCCTAGAAGCCATCCCCGCTGCCTGGAAGCCTGAAAATGTGGTGGAACAGGACACGGCAAAAACATAACGTTCGACTGTCCGCGCGGATTTCTTGGATCTGCGCTGGACCCCCCCCCCTGGCGCGCGGAGCGCGCCAGGGGCGGCGCCCGAGGCGCTGCCAGGGGGGTCCCAGCGCAGATCCAAGACATCCGCGCTGACCGCCAAAAGTTGATAACTATTTATGCCGTTGTCTGTTCTTCGATAAATCCCCAGGGCCTTCTAGGAGTGCCCCCGCCTTCTGAGAGGCGCCCCGTCTTCTTAGCAGGCCACCTCCCTCGCGCCACCCATGGCGGAGAAATCCGAACCTCACCCTCTCCGATGGACGATTCAAGCAACTCGATGGGCGGCGGAAGTAGGGCTCGGAATTCGTCGAAGACGTGGCGAAATCAGAACCCTACCCCCGCCACCCATCGAATCAGGAGAATCGATGGTTGGTGGGGGTAGGATTCGGATCTCGTGATCAACACCCTCCCAGACAACGACGTCATGACTTTTTCATGACATTGACCCCAAGGGGTCTCGACCAATTCCCCGGGACCGGCTTTTCATCCTGAGATTGTTTGACGGCCCCGAGATCCCGAAAAGGCACCCAAAGGAAGAACACAGAGAAAAACCTCCCGTCGTGATATTTTCAATGAACACATCACGGCGAGAGCAACTGTTTCGTGGCGATAACGGGCGTTATGGGGCGGGGGGAGGGGGAGGGGGGCGGGGGTTGCTTAACGTAACACCCGTGCCCCCCACCGTGACACATTTTGGTGACTCACGCTCTGCGGCAGTGCTTGGGACGTAATTACTGGGCGAGGAGGAGCGTTACGTGGCAGGGGGGGCCGGGGGGGGTATAACGCGCGTACTGGCACAGAGGGTGAAATAACACTCTTCATGGCTCCAAGCGGTCTGGCCCCTCGTTGAGAAAGACAATTACCGTGTTGGGAGGAAGGAGCTAGGAAGATACAGGGTGCGAATATTCGAAACACTCTCAACATCTTCGATTCTACAAACGATTTTGTCATCTCTCTAGAGGCCTCCTAGATGGACTCCGAGTAGATAGGGTCGAAAGATCCCGCCGCATCGGTGATGCATCGGCGATGCAACGGCGATGCACCGGCAACGTCGGCGATGCACCGGCGACGTCGGCGTGGCGAACATCGGCATCCGTATCGAGCCGCATCGGCGATGCATCGGCGATGCGGCGCGATCCTCCGACCCCATCTACTCGGACCCCAAGGTCTAGGGAGCCCACAAAGAACGTACGCGCCCAGCTAGGTACATGAACCCGGGCCCCTCGATCCGCGAGACTGCCCGCGTGGCGCGAACATTCGGGCAATGCGCACTCTCGAAACCAGCGTGGATTCGTGTACGTGTACGTACGTCCTTCTGTCGCTCCCGATGAAGCCGCCCTCCCAACCCGAGAACTCTCTTTTGGACGCCCGAAATGGGTACGGAAAAATTGGATACCATACCCAACAACAAATGTTGTCCCAAACCAACAGCGGCCGCTGTTGGGCAGGCGGCCTTCTGTCTCAAATGGACACAGGCCGCGGCGGCGCGGACAGCGAGTCCTGTTCAAGACGAACAAGAACTGCTGTTGGGCATCGTACCCATTCTTTCCGTGCCCATGTCGGTCGTCCCGATCTCTTCCTGGCTCGTGCGCGCCGGCCCTCGTGGCTGGATCGCCCGCGGCGTTCAAAGTTGAACGCCGCTGGCGGGGTCGCCGCTGGTCGACACGACGCGAGCCTACCGTACGTCCTTCTGTCGCTCCCGATGAAGCCGCCCTCCCAGCCCGAGAACTCTCTTCCTGGCTCGTGCGCGCCGGCCCTCCCCGCCCCGGGAGGCCGCCTCGGCCGCGCAGCCGCCCTCCTCGCGCCACTGCGCCCCAGCCTGAGAGGCCCGAGGGCGGCCCCGGGCCGGGGGCGGCCGGGGGCGGAGGGCGGAAGCGGTCCGGAGGGTTCCACAAGGGAGTCTTGGGGGGGGGGGGGGGGTCCGGAGAGCCCCCCCAGGGGGCCTCGGAACCTCGTCAAAGCAGCGGGTGCGAAGCCCCTGGGGGACCCCTCCTGGAAAACCCCCTCCCCAAAAACCCCCTTTGGAACCCTCCGGGCGGCGGGGGGGGGGGCTCTTGCTCGGGAGGAGGGAAGAAGGAGGAGCCCTGGGGTCCTGGCGTCGTGATTTTTCCGCGCCAAGCATTCCAGTCCGCTTGCGGGCCCTCACAGAACGGTCCGGCTCGAGGAGGCGTATGTGTATTGTTCGTCATTCCTGCCTCCTTGCTGCTCCCCCCTCCCTCCTTGTCCTGCCAATCATCTACACGCCTGTTGCGTTTCACTTCCATCCCGTTTCACATTGGTTGACTGCCCATTGAACTGTGCAACATTGCGGCGCCACGGCGCCAGCTTGACGGGCACCCGCCAGCCCTTTTATGGCAAGCCACTGCCACACACACACACACACACTACTCAGCGATTTCAGTCCGTCTTTGGAACGACTTCTGGCCGAAACTCATTTCGACTTGTTTCAGATCAGCTCGTCCAAAAGAAACACGGAGGCCGCGTGCTTGGAGGCAAGTGTCACACTGAGATTCTCTGCCTGCGCTGTGACTGCCAAGACAAATGGTTGCCGAAGCTGTCTTTTTCTTGCCGATGCCAGGTGAACAACTGATCTTGCTTTCGAAGCCATGGGAAAACCGCTCAAACCACACTTCTTGTATACACTCTGGAAGACATTCTGGCGCTCGTCGCGCTTCTCCGGGTTGGAAGATGGGCTCGCTGTGAAATTTATCAGCACCAGCCTAGTCGGGCGCCGGGACCAATTCTGGATCACAGAATCCGTCAGTCCGGAGAGTGGCAGGTACGTCTGCTTATGGTCGACGGTCCGGATCAATACATAGCCAAGGGTGACGTGCTCAATGAAGCCATCGATGCCGGTATCTGCGCCGCGGCCCATCAGTTTGATGGTCACCAAGTCTCCGACGAAGAAGGGCTTGTGCGTCCAAATCTTGATCAGCATGGTGACTTGATCCCAGAATTTGTAGCCTAAGAACACCGCCAGGTAGTGCACGAATCCGCACGCCAACACCGAACCCACAAACACGCAAATAAAGGCGTAGGACATGTACGAAACGACCGCAACCCCATTAGAACCAATCCTGAGCGGGTGCCAGTCTTTATCGTAGACCACGTCTGCGATGCCACGACTTCGGTTCACTGCCATGAACTTGTCCTTCGTGGGGGCGCCAATACGGGCAGGGCCAACGCTGTGGAGGATACCCTGCATGTTCTTGACAGGCTTCTCCTCAAGAAGAGAATGCTCGCACATCATTATCTGGTGGACGATGTGATCCAGGTAATCCATGAAACGCAGATGTGACAGGGCGCACAGGGTGGCGAGGATATTGCCGAGCGCGCGAATGCTTGAAGTCATCTTCGATCTTTTGCCACCGCATCAAACGCTCAGACGCTCCTTGACAGCGAAAACAACGACTGACATACACAGCATGGCTGACGGCCTCGCCAGCGACGGCGAGAGCACTGGGATGGCCAACTGAGCCACTGGCACCATGCAGAAGCATGTCTTGGAGACCCGACGCTTGTGCCAGTCATCCTCCAAGATCGAACGAGCACCCCCGCCGACGCGCAAATCTCCGCAGTGGCCGCTCAAGAGGTAAAGGGGGATCCTGACGCCCGTGATCGCGTATCGCACGGCGAAGGCGACCAGGGAGGCAGAGGCGAAGGCAGAGGCAGAGGAGGGCGAGAGGGAAGCGACAGTGACAGCCGCTGCGGCCGCAACGCGAGAGCAGGAGGCGCATCAGAGGACAGACGCTGGCTGCTCAACCCAGCCAAACCCTGGCTGACCGAGGCGCGGGGCCCCAGGCTGAGGCGGCTTATCCAGGCCGGCTCCTTCCGGAGCCATTGTGTGCCCGCACGCCTCTTGAAAGAACTGTCCGGGGAAGGGCTGCGGCTCGAAGTCCTGCCGCACCAGCCGGATGCTGCCGAAGATCGCCTCGGCAAAGCATCGCGCGGCAACGTGCCCGGTGCTCGTCCTATCGTCGGGCTCGGGCGCGGTGGGGGCCTCCGCCCTCCCAACGATCAGCTGGGCCTTCTCGGTGTCATGCGTCATCGGGCAGACCCGGTTCTGCTCGCGGGCGGCGCAAAAGCGCACACACCAGAACATCCCAAAACGGAAGGTTGCTCGATAGCTTGAGCCAAAATGGTTTGAGCCGTTCTTGGGGGACTCGGGGATTGGGAGCGAAGGGTCACCTGCGAGAGAAGATGTCTGCACATGATCACACCACCTACCGTGGCCAGGCTCATCCTGGGGCTAGGGTCGGTGCATACGCTCTCCTGATGTCTGGCTTGGCCATGGGGGGCACATGCACCAATGCTGGGTTCAAGATAGCCCTGGCCCAGATCGGCGAATGCGCATGCCCCGACATTCGATGTTGATTTGTTCCCAACCATCCTGTGGTGTTGGGTCCTCGTTTTGAAGAGACAGCGCCCCGCGTCCCACCTTCCTCCTTACTCCTCCTCCCCCCTCCTCCCCACCCCCCCTCCCAGTGCAGCGTTTCGTAGCCCCACAGGGAGCTCCACCGAAGGCCCCAGTGGGGGTGCCTGCATGCGGTTCCCCCACCCAGGGCAGCGTTTCGTGGCCCCATAGGGAGCTCCACCGAATTCCCCAGTGGGGGTGGCTACATGCGGTTCCCCCACCCAGGGCAGCGCTTCGTGGCCCCATAGGGAGCTCCACCGAAGGCCCCAGCGGGGGTGCCCGCATGCGGTTCCCTCACCCAGGGCAGCGATTCGTGGCCCCATAAGGAGCTCCACAGTAGGCCCCAGTGGGGGTGGCCGCATGCGGTTCCCCCACCCAGCGCAGCGTTTCCTAGCCCAATACGGCGCTCCACCGAAGGCCCCAGTGGGGGTGCCCGCGTGCGGTTCCCCCACCCAGCGCAGCGCTTCGTGGCCCCACAGGGAGCTCCACCGTAGGCACCAGTGGGGGTGCCCGCATGCGGTTCCCCCACCCAGGGCAGCGTTTGGTAACCCCATAGGGCGCTCCACCGAAGACTCCAGTGGGGGTGCCCGCATGCGGTTCCCCCACCCAGGGCAGCGCTTCGTGGCCCCATAGGGAGCTCCACCGAAGGCCCCAGTGGGGGTACCCGCATGCGGTTCCCCCGCCCAGGGCAGCGATTCGTGGCCCCATAAGGAGCTCCACAGTAGGCCCCAGTGGGGGTGGCCGCATGCGGTTCCCCCACCCAGCGCAGCGTTTCGTAGCCCAATACGGCGCTCCACCGAAGGCCCCAGTGAGGGTGCCCGCGTGCGGTTCCCCCACCCAGCGCAGCGCTTCGTGGCCCCACAGGGAGCTCCACCGAAGGCCCCAGTGGGGGTGCCCGCATGCGGTTCCCCCACCCAGGGCAGCGCTTCGTGGCCCCACAGGGAGCTCCACCGAAGGCCCCAGTGGGGGTGGCCGCATGCGGTTCCCCCACCCAGCGCAGCGATTCGTGGCCCCATAGGGAGCTCCACCGAAGTCCCAAGTCGGGGTGCCCGCATGCGGTTCCCCACCACCACCACTGTGGCAGGCACCTCACACAGTTCGTGGCCCCATAAGAAGCTCCACCGAGGACGATATTCACACCTGCGGTACTCACAACTGCATATGGTTGGGTCCGTCGCCAAGCTAATTTTCAATATGGGGTTCCAGGAACTCTAGCTGGACCACTTCCCCAGGACAGATTTCTTGCTCGTTGTCTGATGGTGCCCGCCAAACGCCGAAAACTACGAAAACCCCCCGCGTTGATTTTGTAGCTCTTGTTTTCGCCCGAGATCTGCGGACGACGAAGGCGAAGGCGGCGGCGGCTCCGCCGAGGCGGCGGCCACGTGCACCGTCAGTTCGCCCGGCCGCCGCCGCGGGCGCAGCGGCCCCTGTGCGCCGCGGCCCGACAGCAGGCCGAGGCGCTCCAGGCTGAGCTGCAACGTGCGCGCGCGCGAACCGCGGTCCGCGGCGGCGGCAGCGTCCACAGAGACCTCCGCGCCGCCGCCATCGCCGCCGCTGGCGCCGTCTCCGTCGTCGCCGCTGCCGCCGTGGTCGCCGTCGCCTTGCGTGAGTTTCGGGCCAGGGGGTTCTTGGACACCGGTAGTGCGAGGTGTTTTGGCATGCTTCCCGGGCCCCGCGTGGAACAAGTTCTGGAGCTAATCCTGGAAGCGCGGGCTAGGCTAAAAACCGCTCGCAGAAGCCGCGCGACGAAATGTTAGCCAGCGCGGGCCCCAAACAGTGGGTTCTTGCAGCCTGCGCGGTGCAACTTATGCGGCGCAACGCCTGCGTTGCAACCTATGTAACGCAACCATCTCGGAACTGGCGTCGGCTCATGCGACGCAGCCTTTTCTCGCGAGGGGCGGCGGCGGGAGGCGCTGGTTCTCTGACGCTCAACGGCTCGCCTACCCCGCGCGCAGCGCAGCCGAACGCACCATCTTG